CATTATTTACGAATCGCTCAATATAATGTGCTCAATCACACCTTGTTCCGATCGGGACCCGGTACAGTGGCGGATCCAGGGGAGAGGGAGGCGGCGACCGCACCCCCCCAGAGTTCACCAAACAGAAAGTTAGAATTTATTATATGTAACAAAATTTTGTTTTTAAATAACATTTCATATTATGTTAATGTATATATAAAAATATGTCTGGCTAATAAAATGCTGAATACTAGACATGTATAATTCATATTTCATGATCATGATATTGGAGGAAAAGTTCCGCGGTATTTTGTTAGCTCAAAATTATATATAAAATATTTTTATTAAAAATGCTCAAAATTTAAATTTAAAAAAGGGGTTTTAAAACTTGAAATCTCTACTTTCGAATGGTTACTATATTTTTTGAATTTATGTGAGTTTTGTAATTTTTATATATAGAAAACTACTTGGAAAAAAAGAAAATTTTCTTCTTATTTTGTGAGTCTGTCACGTACCAAAAAAAAATTTGCGAAAATTTTCGACTATCTATATATCGTGAAAGTTTGGAGTTTTCCTTACAAAATCGTTTTTTAAAAATGTTTCTACGAATTTTGGTTTTTGAGTTATTTGCCAGTTAACTAAAAATTCCGACTTTGATTACTCATAACTCCATTAAAAATCATCGTACTGCAATTAAAAAAACAGATTCTTAAAGCTGAAACGTTGCTCAATCGAATAGTATAATGCTAATTTTTTAATATAGAAATTTAAGTTAAAAATGTAATATTACTATCCTTATATACCCTGGTAGAAATTTCATGCATTTTTTGAGCAGTCACTAAACAGTTACACCAATTTCTGTCTAGTAATTGAGAAGGAAAACTACTTAAGATCCCAATCAGAATGTAACACTTTGTTTGCAGTTACTGTATACAAAAGTTGCATGAAATCTGAATCCATTTACTGAATAGAAACATAACAAATAATGGATATTAAATTGATTAATAAGCAAGTCAACTGCTCGTGAAATGAACAGAATAAAACTCTATCAAGTTCTTGTCCATTTCCTACTCAGTATTGGCACAATTAATGAGAATACAGTAATATTAGATAGTAATCGGATACATATCTAGGAAAAGTGCATACATTTCTACTAGGGTATAACCACTGCGCAATGGAAAAAAGAAAAGTAATATCACATTTTTAAAATATACGTATATACTATTTTTTTTTTAAATTGGCGATTACACCACTTGATAGAGCAACGTTTCAGCTTTAAAAATCTGTTTTATTAATTACGGCACAATGATTTTTAACGGAGTTATGAGTAATTAAAAAGAATCAGAATGCTCTTTTATTTAAGGAGATTGTAAGGCAAATGCAATATGTTAAGAACTACTTGAAAAAATTACAGATTATTCTAAATTTCATTTAACAATAATACAAAAAAATAGAAACAATTGACCATCTGGATCAAAAGTTATTTAAATAAGTAGTAATATTTTTTAAATTTGTACTCTAATATAAATATATGAAAATGTATTATAAAATAATGATAAAAATCTCAATTTTTTTATATAAATACTCTAGGAATACAACAATATTTTTGTAAAGTTATCTTGAGATGCAGACATTAATTGTTCAGTAAATAAATAAAATTTGTTATATCTTATAAACTAATGGTGAATCTCAATGAAACTTTGCATAAGTCATGTTTAGTACTTAATATATTTATATAAAAACATTTAGATTTTTCTTATTATTTTAACAATTTTTGTTTATAACAATAAAACTAATAACAAATAAAATAAATAACCTATAAAAATGTGTTGCTCAATAAAACCAGAATGTTATGAACACAACTATCACATGTATGTAGTTTGTTTAAAGCGAAAATATTAATATATGTGTTTTATGTCTTTACAATCTCCTTAATCCGCGTGTAATTTAGTCACGTCAGATAGTCGAAAATTTCGCAACAAATATATTTTGTATATAATTTTGAGCTAACAAAATTCCGCAGGACTTTTTCTCCAGCTCAATAGTAATAGTAATAATAATAATAATAGTAAAAATATAATAAAACAATGAAGAAATAAAAATAATTAAAAAATATTAAAAATAACGATGAAAATAACATGAATAATAAGTCAATATTTACATTTCGTCATACCGCCCCCCCTCCACCTCCCCCCGCCCCTAGAATAACGAAGTTGCGAAGTTAAGCGCGAGTGACGGAATCTGCGGAGGAATTTATCGCTGCGCATCTGAAAGACGTCGCAGAGCATGGAGGTGATCCGTGTCGGATTCGCGTCGATATCACGCGGTAATGGAACTGCGATGCGCACATGTGACGGCTTAAAAGCCATCGTTTTACTTTGTGCTCAAATCCCGCTGGCCGGCGGCCGCTCTATTTTTGCCGATGATGAGGAATTCCGTGGACGGACGCGAATTCTAAACGCGCGCATCATTTCTCCCGTGCTTCGATCCCACTCGGTTTGTCCTCATTGAGGGGAAGGTAACTGCCATGGTTACATATATATTGCGTCGGTATCGATTGAGAATATTGTTACAATCACACACGCAGTTATTACAAATACGTCTTTGCTTTGACGGCAATCTCTTGCATCTGAAATAACTGATTGAGTTATGCATTGACTAACAGAGTTATGCTGAAAGAGCAATTTTGCCCAAAAATCTACAAATTTAGCTACACTGAAAAAAAATATAGTCAATTTTAATAAATATTTAGTTGAATACTGCCAACTAAATATTTATTAAATATAAAGATATATTTATTTGATACAAGAAATATTAATTTGATTTAACAATAATTTTTTTTACTGAACAAATATTTATTTACTGTAAGTAAATATTTAGTTGGCAGTATTGAACTAAATATTTATTAAAATTGACTATATTTTTTTCTCAGTGCAGATACAGATCTGAAAATAATTTTACTGGACCATCAAAATAATTTTGTAAAAATCTTTAGCGTGATGAGCAATCAGAGCAATGCTGTAAAAAGTTTTGACATTCCAACAACCGTTTGAGCATTCTACATATTTATTTTGATGATCCAACAAAGTACCGAGGTCTCTATAGTCTAAAGGCTTAGGACGCTTGTACGAAATACAAGAGATCCGGGTTCGACGCCCGGTAATATTTCTCGCAATAAAATTTACAATTTTTCAGCAAATTAATATCTTTCTAATATGACGCCTTTTCGAGCATCGAATTATTAAAAATTATTTATCAATTTAATTTAATTTAATTTAATATTATTACAGTAGTTTAATTGCTGTTTATAAGTCCGGGAAAACAATTAAGCGCGCAGATTGAATGACTACAAATGAATATGAAATGGTACATATGCGTGTACATATACAGTATATATATAATTTACATTATTATTTAAACATTAAAGATCCAGTTTCGACCGGTATAGGTTTCTAAGTTTATCGCGTTTGTCCTATTTTTTATTTCGAAGATAACGGTAGTATGAACACAAACGTTGTAATAGCAACAATTTTATGATCAATTACAAAATGATGAAATAACAAGCAATTGGTCATCAATTTCGAAATTATTATCATACGCGAATCCATTTAGATTAGGCAAATGTTCGAGATGAAGTAAACGTTGGTGGCGAAACCAATCAATTTCGTAATTTTTTAAAATTAGTTTTTTGATTACCGCGCAATTTTTACTTTTTTCTTCTGAGCGATGTACACGCGCTGATTTTGCGCCTGTGATTTTGCTGTTTTAATTAATTTTATATATCATTCTGTAAATATAGAAAATTTATACGCACAGATAAAGATATCGAGCGCACACGAGCGAGAAATTCGTATTAATCATTGAAGACTGATTTTTAATTGGACGATAAAAAATTCCTACTATCCTGATTTCTGTTTAAATATATTTATCTTATGAAAAAGATTGCTTCGTATCTTGCTCCTCTTCGTTGAAAAATCTTCACAGGCTGCTTAAGAAGATGACATTATTCTACAAACGTTCGTATTTTAATATTTGTAGTGAAACGCTTAATTTTTTTCGTGTGTCATTCTTTTCTGAATCTATCTTGAAGCAAAAAAAGTTTATATTCATACGATTTTGAAGTGTAGAAGAATGTTTTTATTTGGCAACTGAATGTGAAACGTTCCCGATTTTACGAAAAAAAGAGACATTAAAAATGTCGCGAATATTGAACAATTGTAAAGATTGGATTCACAGAGCATGCATGGTCCCCTCTTAGTCTCCTTTTTTAAAAATTTATAACAAAATGTTATATGTATTTTGAATATTTCTAAAATGCTTAATCACAATTTTGATAATTCGAAATATTTTTTAATTTAAAAAACTTTTAAAAATATTTATACTATAGAAAATATAGATTCCATTATATTTTTTTTATATTGGATGTATTTTTAAATAAAATGTTTTATGAATTATATATTTTTAAAATAATACTTTTACAATATAATAATTTAAATAATAATTTTTAACAAAGCAAACAATATAAAACGACCAAAATGAGCAAGAAAGTTAGATTATAATAGAATATATATATTTGAAATACAAAATCACTCAATTCTCATACATAATACGTTTCGACTACACAGAGTCTTCTTCAGTTAGCATATAATTAACGTAATAATTTCATCGCAAATTAAAAACTGAACACATATCATAATTATATCACAATCTCATCGCAAATTTAATTAATTTGATTATGATATGAGCTCGTTTTGGTCGTTTTATATTGTTTGCTTTGTCAAATTATCGAGCGTTTTATGTTATTGTTAATAATTTTTAGTTTTTAATTATTGTTAATAATTTCTATCTTTTCATATTTGATCTTCAAAAAATTTTGCGGCGCCAATGATCCCCTTTTGACAGATTTCTAGATTCGCCGCCAATGGTTGTGGATGTTAATTTTGTTGAAAAATGACAATAACGATATTTCTGCTTATATACTATATATTTTCTCTCTTTTTTTCATTCCATTTATTCTGTAGACGGTTTTAAGGGCGACATCGTGCTCTGGTGCAAACTGTTGCTGCCTGGCGCCATGAAGAGAATTTACAATCTGCAGAGCAAGCAGCTGATAAAGTTGTTCGCGCGGTTGCTGCTCCAGGACGAGGACGCGATGCTGGAGCATTTGGAACAAGGCGACGTAGCCGAGACGATCAGCGTGTTCTTTGAAAATAGCGCTGCCGCGTCGCCTTGCGCCGCAAGTCTATTGACTATCCAAGACGTAAGTCGGTACAATTTCGCGAATTTCGAGGATGAGAACAAATCACAGTGAGAGAAACCGGTGAACTAAATAAAAAGAAATTAGAATAATGAAAAAGATAAAATGATTAAAAAGAAATTAAAATAATAAATTGCCCGACTAATTAAAATTCATTTTTTTTTATCGTTCTCACATTAAAAGACGAGTTTATTCGTCGGTATAATTTATTTGAAGAATTGCAACACGTGCAGAGTGATTTGAGAGCCTCAAATCTTTACATTCTATTTGATAAAAGCGTAACCGATTTATATTTATAAATACTGACATATTCGTGTCTTATCGCCGTCCGGAAGATTATCAATATCATTTATCGTTTTCATATCGTTTTTTTCCCACTTGTTTATAAACATCTTAGACCTTTGGATATAACCGGCATCTTTGGTCCTTTCGAGTGCGAAATAAAAGTTTCGAATCTTCTAGCGATATTCATCGTTAAATAAGTCATTCTTTAATAAAATCGTACAATAACTAAGACTCTCAGCTGTTTAAGAGGGGTTTCACCTTTGCAGGCGAAAAAAAATAAAAAAATTTTTTTTACATATTTTGATTCCTACATATGTGTAAAATATCCCTGTAAAAGGATTTTTTTAAATTTGTAATATTAACGGAGCTAGTTAGTAAATCGTCGTACGTCAGAATCCTCAAGAGAAGCCAGAACAGCTCGGCGATTGGAGAGATTAATGGAAAATGAATTTTATGAAAAGGAGGAAGGATCAGTGTATGCCCTGGTATTGCCATACATAATTGTAAGTGCGCTAAAAAACTTGTTATATGTGGAAAAAGTCAAACCAAAACTTTAAACGCGTTTTTCTCAAAATCACATTTTTCGACCTGACGGAACTAATAATTCAAAGATGGATTAAGATATTGACTTAATTCTTTTCTTCTCTTGATCCTAATACTTTTGCGCATGGCAGGAACTAGAGTGATTTTACAACAAATATTCGATTTGTTATTCACAAAAAAGTAACAAATTTTTAGGACAAAAAATTAATTTTTTTTTTCAATGCCACCATTTTGACAAATTTCAGGCAATTGACATTATTTTAGTTCCTGCCATAGCAACACTCATATAATTAATAAAAATAAGAATTTAGATTTCAGATGATTTGCAGAGTCAATATTACTTCCGTCATAGAGACGAATTTTCTAGATGACCCCTAATTCGATCGTTTTTGGAGACATTAAAATGCATATTCGTCTAATTAAAAAATATTTTTTTCACTGTTTAGACATTACATAATTTCATGCAAAACGCCATATTGTTCTGTATATAATAAATTTTCTTTAAAAAATTCATGAAATTGAGCTAATTTTACAACCGGCAAAGGTGAAACCCCCCTTAAGGCGATGCTAAAGCCTCCTGTTTTATCACATTTCCATTCGGTGAAAAATCTCTGTATTGGATATACGGATTGCAAAAGTATTATTGCTTAAATTAAAGTACGCACAAACAGGACCTCAGCTGCACTGGATTTCACGAGAAAATCGAAAAAAAGTTTCAGATTCGTTAAAAATTCACTTACTTTTGACTTACTGTGGACTCTAAAACTCTTATATCAAGCAAATATATATCTGAGGTGACAGCTGTACGAGCCAAAAGTAAGTGAATTTTTAACGAATCTGAAACTTTTTTCGATTTTCTCGTGAAATCCAGTGCAGCTGAGATCCTGTTTGTGCGTACTTTAATTTAAGCAATAATACTTTTGCAATCCGTACATACAATACAGAGATTTTTCACCGAATGGAAATGTGGTAAAACAGGAAGCTTTAGCATCGCCTTAAGGAAGTTATAAGATAAATAAGTAATGTGTTAAGGGGATTCTAAAGCCGTCTGTATTACCGACTAAATCATATAATTTTTTTATATAACAAATACTTTTTTCTCTTTCACAGATTCGAAAATTGTTTTCCAGGATTAAAGTATACGCATTAATACATGTTTGTGAGGTGGAGTTTATGCCAAGAACAACAAAAAATTTCGAAATTAATATATTTTTTACCATTTTTTAGTGTAACATGGCATTTCAAGCTATCAAGTTTACTTGATACGAAAGTTTTGCAACCTGCACTTACGAAATAGTAATTCACAAACACGTAATTTGCATGAACAAATAACGTCGAGCTCTTAGAATCAGACTTAGACGCTTTATCGTGACGAATTTGTTATATGAAAATTGACACAAACGCGACTGCGTATATCATAGGTTGCGTGAGATATTGGTGTGGTAGTGTATAAAGACATGTCAATGCGCTGAAAAAAGCGACTTCATCGGAGGTCGAGTTTCGCTTTAGAATCTCCTTATAAGCGAGCGATTTACCCCTATTTTGAGTTCATTAACCGACCGACCAATGTTCTACCGACTGAAAATAATTGGATTCGATTTCTCATATTATTTTGCGAAAAAAACATCTATATATACACTTTATTTTTTTAAGTGGTCGTTGAAAAGTTATAAACAATTTTTTGTTTAAAAAATCTAAACTTCGAACAAAAATTCCGAAAAAATTCTGTAAGCTTAATTGGATCAAAATGAACATTTTTTGTCTTTTAGACTTTTTTGATAAAATCAATAGTTTTCGAAATAAAAAATGTCAAAACTTGAAAAATAACTACCTTTACGATTTTTTTTCTTGCAAACTAATCATTCAATCGGTGCGAATAAAAAACGAAAATATTCGGTCAATCTTAAACTATAACGAGAATTTGATTTTATTTTGATCTGTACTGTTATTGACAGTGAAAACGTTATTATAATAAAGGCGCGTCCGCGGTGCGTGAGTGGTCTCGACTCTCGACGCTGCGTCGGCGCGGCGTCTATTTTTCAAGTTTTGATATTTTTTATCTCGAAAACTATTGCTTTTAAAAAAAAGTCTAAGAGACAAAAAATGTTTATTTTGATCCAATTAAACTAACGTAATTTTTTCAGAATTTTTATTCAAAGTTTAGATTTTTCAAACAAAAAATTGTTTATAACTTTTCAACGACTACTTAAAAAAATAAAGTGCATATAGATGTTTTTTGCAGAATAATACGAGGAATCGAATCCAATCATTTTCAGTCGATAGAACGTTGATCGGTTGATTAATGCATTTTCTAAGCGACTTTTCGGTAAATCGCCTATTAAGAACTATTTGAAAAAATTACAGATTATTCTAAATTGCATTTAAAAATAATACAAAAAAATTAGAGACAATTGACATCTGGATCAAAAGTTATTTCAATAAAAAGTAATATTTTTTAAATTTGCATTCTAGTAGGAATATATAAAAATGTATTATAAAATAATGATAAAAATCTCAATTTTTTTATATATGTACTTTATGAATTTAAAAATATTTATATAAAGTTACATTGAGATGCAGATATTAATTGTTCAGTTAATAAACAAAATATTTATTTGTTATAAACTAATTGGTGAATCTCAATGAAACTTTGCATAAGTAATTTTAAGTTATAAACAATTTTTTGTTTAAAAAATCTAAACTTCGAACAAAAATTCCGAAAAAATTCTGTAAGCTTAATTGGATCAAAATGAACATTTTTTGTCTTTTAGACTTTTTTGATAAAATCAATAGTTTTCGAAATAAAAAATGTCAAAACTTGAAAAATAACTACCTTTACGATTTTTTTTCTTGCAAACTAATCATTCAATCGGTGCGAATAAAAAACGAAAATATTCGGTCAATCTTAAACTATAACGAGAATTTGATTTTATTTTGATCTGTACTGTTATTGACAGTGAAAACGTTATTATAATAAAGGCGCGTCCGCGGTGCGTGAGTGGTCTCGACTCTCGACGCTGCGTCGGCGCGGCGTCTATTTTTCAAGTTTTGATATTTTTTATCTCGAAAACTATTGCTTTTAAAAAAAAGTCTAAGAGACAAAAAATGTTTATTTTGATCCAATTAAACTAACGTAATTTTTTCAGAATTTTTATTCAAAGTTTAGATTTTTCAAACAAAAAATTGTTTATAACTTTTCAACGACTACTTAAAAAAATAAAGTGCATATAGATGTTTTTTGCAGAATAATACGAGGAATCGAATCCAATCATTTTCAGTCGATAGAACGTTGATCGGTTGATTAATGCATTTTCTAAGCGACTTTTCGGTAAATCGCCTATTAAGAACTATTTGAAAAAATTACAGATTATTCTAAATTGCATTTAAAAATAATACAAAAAAATTAGAGACAATTGACATCTGGATCAAAAGTTATTTCAATAAAAAGTAATATTTTTTAAATTTGCATTCTAGTAGGAATATATAAAAATGTATTATAAAATAATGATAAAAATCTCAATTTTTTTATATATGTACTTTATGAATTTAAAAATATTTATATAAAGTTACATTGAGATGCAGATATTAATTGTTCAGTTAATAAACAAAATATTTATTTGTTATAAACTAATTGGTGAAACTCAATGAAACTTTGCATAAGTCATTTTCAATACTTAAAATATTTATATAAAAATTTAGATTTTTATTATTAAAAAAATTTTTGTTTATAACAATAAAACTAATATCAAATAAAATAAATAATCTAATAAAAATGTGTTGCTCAATAAAAAGAATGTTATGAACACAACTTTCACATATATGTAATTTGTTTAAAGCGTAAATATTAATATATGTGTTTTATTTACAAATCTCCTTAATGCATTGTAAGAAAAACTTTTACCTGCTTGTTTAAAAATTTTTGATTAGTAATTCCTAAATAAAAGCTTACTCGTTCACAAAAATTGATAGAAAGTATGCCTCAAAGATATCAGCAGTAAAATTGACAATGGCAGTAATTGAATGACTTATTAAGCGTTGTAGTATCGATTGTGTAATACATATATAATTATATAATTACAAAATGAAAAAAATTATATATAAATAATCTTTTTTATTTTTTAAAAATAGATCACTTAAAAATTATGTATATAGGTCACGCTCCCTTGAACTGTGAAATACATATATAATATTTCATCATCGGTTAAATTTTTTGTAACCAGTAATTATCGAAGATAACGTCATGTGTAACATTTGCTTTCGAAAATTTCTATATATATTTTTTCTCAGTATAATTTATTTAATAAACAAAAATATATGGACACGCGCCGAAGTCTCATGTCTTTATTAATGAGTTTTATCGGATAGGTTGATCTCTTTTTGGAAAACCTGTCGCGTTTGACCAAGGAGGAGGAGCAGATCCAGCATTTTCGATCTATCCTCGATAAGTAAGTTCATCGGTCGTTCTTTTTGTTAACCTAATTGCAACATGTAAAGAGGTCTTCTTGGAATTTTTACCAACGCAACAAATATGTACCTTTTCGATGTTTTCATATCCAATTGGCATAATGTAGTGATATAATTTTATTATCGCTTCACTTTGCCAATTAACGTCGATTTATCGCTATCTAATTAATATAAAATACCGTAAAAATTGTATCGTCGTCCTATTTTAGCACTTAACGTATTTAATAGCTCACAGCTTACATTTTTATTTAGCTTTATCGTATTTATTTACATGGAAAAGAAAGATATAGTTCACATAACTAAAAATATTTAGTTGTGAGAAATGTAGAAACATCATTCTAGTTATCTTTATGTGATAGGAATGTGTATGGTTGATACAATTTATTTACTTTGATGTGTCAACTATGTCAATGTAACTAGGAGCGATCTGGTTGTGACAATCAAAACTTGGTTGGGAGATCATTTTCTATGGATAAGTTATATATCCGTATTTTTGCATCAATCGTGACATTATAAAGCATGATGTATAATAATAAGTATTAAATTATTAATATAAGAATTAATTTCTTGTTATATCATGCTATAAATTAAGTTGCAATTTCAAAAAGCAAAAGCGACTCACCACGCTTACAATTAAAAATATGCATATGTATGACTTATGTTGCAATGAAACGCCGTCATTGCAACATAAGTCATTCAACCACTTGTACTATAGTTCAAGCAACCACATAAATAATTGTTCCATTTTTTATTATTTAATCTGGTTGGCATCACCAGATTTCTGTGTAGATCAATCATACTGTTTTTTCTGTGTATGTTCATTAATATTACGTACTCCTTGCCATTTTTTTCTTAAATTTCACATTTGTTTAAAATTGCACTTATTTTTATAATACGAAAAGCATATCATGTAAATTATAAACGATGCTCGCAGCTGAACGGTTAAATGCTATCTATATTTATCTTTTTATGTTTACTTGAATATTTGATAAAAATTTTAGATGTACCGCCAACGATCTGAAGATGATTATACGTCTGATTAAGCATGATCTGAGGATTAATGCCGGGCCGAAACATATGTGAGTGCGCGTTTAGTGTTTTTTTTTCTGTCAGTTTCAAAATATGGGTGAGTGTGAAAGTGTCCGAGTCCAAAAAAATTTGTATAATATGTAAGTCCATAACGCAATATCTTATTTAAATTGGTAATTACCATACCTACTATTCGATAGATCGAAGTTTTTGCTTTAAAAATCTGGTTTTTGAGTTGCGATACGACTATAAAGAGAGAAACAAAATTTTCCATCTTGTCCAATTCGTTTCCTATATATAAAAATTATCAAATTCACAGAAACTTAAAAAACATAGTGATCTTTTGAAAGTAGAAATTTTAAATAGAAAATTTAAAATCCTTTTTTAAAATTTAAATTTCGTTTATTTTTAATGAAATTGCATGAATTTTGAATAATAAATCGGCATAAATTTTTGCACTCACTCAATTAGATAATAATTAAAATATATATATATGTGTTGCATACTCAGTCTCGAGGCGGTCCACGCAGATGCCTATAAGGCCTTCCAGATGTCCCGAGATCTGGAAACGGTGATACGACGTTTTCTGTCGAATTTGGAAGAAAAATCGAGCGCTTCAGGCTCATCACTAGGTCGGAATAAAGTGGCCATCTCGCTGATGACGCCAGTTTTACCTATGCTGGTATATCGAAATAATCTGCGAGAATTATGTAGTTTTTTTATTAGTTCATTAAAATTATATATATAGTGTCCTATTTTAATCGATTACCTCAAATATCTCTTAAACAGAGTATTTTAGGGAAAAATGTTCCAGATACAAATTTTGGGAATTCGAGGGGGACATAAGATGGTATCATTGGTTTGATCTTGGGTGGCGTTGTCAAGGTGAGGGTAAGGTCACTTTGAATTTTTAAAATGGAACCCCCATTTTTCATTACATATTCTTGTAGTTTACCTTGAGAGCTTTTCAAAATTCACTATAATTAAGTTCATTTTCATTAAGTACTTTTCAAGTTATAAGACTTGCAAACTACAGCACCGCCGGCATTAGCATTACCCAAGGTATCCGACCGACAGCTAAAACCTCTTGAATGTTATTTAAGATCACGACCTGGATAACATTTGTCAAGATCAAGGCTATTGGAGGTTGTACCTCTTATTTTCATTTTTACGTAAACGTGAATTTTTTGTGCAAAAATAAAAATAAGAAGCACAATCTCCAATGACCTTGATCTTGAAATGTTATCCAGAACATGATTCTGAACAACATTTAAGAGGTTTTAGTCGTCGGTCAAACACCTTGGGTAATGCCGACGGTACTGTAACTTTCAAGCCTTATAACTCGCAAAGTACTTAATAAAAAAATATTGTATTAAAGTGTTTTGAAAAGCTCCCGACGTAAGCTACAAGAATATGTAATGAAAAATGGGGGGTTTCATTTAAAAAATTCAAAGTGATCTTGCCCTGACCTTGACGACGCCACCCAAGACCAAACCAAGGACCATCTTATGTCCCCCCCGAAGTTCCAAAACTTTTGTCTGAAATATTTTTCCCTAAAATGCACTGTTTAAGAGATATTCGAGGTAATCAATTAAAATGGGACATCCTGTGTGTGTATATATATATATATATATACAGGGTGGACCATCTGAAGTGATCCAGTCAAATATCTCGAAAATTTCCGCTTTAATTGTCTGTCTCGTGCATTTTTTACTTCATTTATTTAACTGCGACGCGTTGATTACAATGATGACGAGAAAAATGACGCGCATTATAAGGCTACCGATAATCTCGACGCAATGAAAACAAACCAACGTCAGGCGAACGGGATAGCTCGCTTTCGACACGCAAATTCTCCGAAGTCTGAATTCTGTCTAGGAAATTTAGGCATTCAAGCGTGGGAAGACGAAGGTTGCGTTTTAGGATAGTGTGATCGCGAGAAAATGCGTATACGAAATCCGGTCACAAATCAGTACTGATGATCGAATGTTTATAATTAGACATCTAGCAACATTCGGTTCCACACTGGGAAAAACATCAGTCTATCACTGAGAAAAGTGATTATTCAATTTACTTTCTTCCTCTTTTAAGTTATCTTCAATAAACAATAATAATCTTCTTGATATAATAATCTTATAAAATACATTTATTATAAATTGTAGAAAAACTCATTATTACGTACTCAGAATAAGAATTTATTTTCTTTTTAAGAAAATATTATAAAATCTATTTTAATTTAATAATTTTGACTGATGCATATGAAACTAATTAGGATTTTTTCAGAATATATTTTGAATGATGCTTGAGATGAACTTTAATAGATTTGCGGATATATGAACTTTCGAAATATTTAAAACAAGTAATAATCGTTACTTGCGTACAGTATGTATTTTTCTATGTGTACATCTCGGATAGATGATGACACACGTGATCGCTCCTTATCGCAACATAGAGTGGAAGGGATGGAGAGTACACGCGATTACGGAGAGGAAGAGTATTATCGAGATTTTCGATGAAGAGATTCCTCCTCCTCTTGCTCCTTCTCCTTCCTTTCCTTTCCTTTCCTCTCTTCCTTCTCGCGCGAAATCTCGCGTCTGACGAAATTCTTAAGGGTCCTCTACATAGAAGTCGTAGACGGTCGTGGAGTCTTAAGTCGTAGGAAACCAACCAATCACAATCAAATATAAGGAGAATACTCGATTGGAATTGATCAGTTTTCTACGACTTAAGACTCCACGACCATCTACGACTTCTATGTAGACGAACCTTTAGAGTTCTGTGAGTAAATAAATCCAAGCATTCTCAATCTCGACAGATAAGACGCAGCGAGATCGTCCCACTCGTGATATCGACGAGAGTCAGAGAGATAGAGAAATGCTATTTAAAGCGTGTCTATACTGGTTTATGCTATTCTGAGGATTATTGTACTCGAGTTGCTTCCTAATGAGAGCTTAATAATTATAGATTATTGATTATTGTATGAAGGTTTTCGACATTGCGAACTGCGTCAGGAGTCAAAGCTAGAAGCAGCCCCCTGACACGACCACTTTTAGCATGGCTACTTAATGTTCAAAGGCCGCTTAACGCGGCGCTGGCAACATTCATGCAATAACGTATATATACAGTCTGTTCAATAGTGACGCTCGTAAAGCTGGAAACACAATAGACACAGGCAACAGAGAATAACGAGCCGTCCAATCAGAGCTTTAGGGTATAAGTTCGATATTATATTCCAGAGCTCTGATTGGACGGCTCGATTGGAAAGCTGTGTTTCCAGCTTTATTCTACAAAGAGCGACTGCAGCAACATCTTCTTGAACTCGGTTGAACCTTTATTGCGTGCTCTTTTGCGCAGTATATAGTTTATATAGTTTGCTAAAAAGTTTTATGGTTCTGATAGAATAAGTTGGGTGTTGCAAGAAGAAAATGATCCTAAACATCGCAGCAAACTGTGCAAAGCGTGGAAAGATGAAAATAACGTCACGACGATGGAATGTCCCCAGATGCTAATCCCATTGAAAATGTGTGGTCGTACATGAAGATGAAACTCAAAGGAAAGCCAGTGTACACGGTGAAGCAGGTGTCAATTCAAATTAAGAAGGTATGGCGATCTTTGCCAAACGAATATGCAGAAAAGCTCGTCGAAAGTATGGAAAAAAGGTGTCAAGCAATAATCAGTAATAGAGGTGATTGGACACGATATTAGATAATTGCGCAATAGCTAATAATGAGTACTTCAATAAAAAAAAAATTAGTCTAAATTTTTATATTTTTTTGATTATGGCAGACACTTTCTTATTGAACAAACTGTATGTACATACGTTCCGCTTGTTTCATTGTTTGCTGTAACATTATTTCAATGTTATTTCAACGTTCTGACTTGAAATAACATTATTTCAACGTCCTGTGCTGCATGTGATATATATACAGGGTGTTTGATAATTAATGAAAAATCTTTTGTATAGGGACAAAATGGACTAAAGTGAGAAGAAAAGTCCTCTACAATTTTGCAATTTTTGCAATAGTTAACAAGATATTAATTACTAAAAATTGCCGAAAATTGATTTTCAATAATTTTTTACTCAAAAACTATCAACTTTACAGAAAAGGTGTTTGATAATTAATAAAAAATCTTTTGCATAGGGGCAAAATGGATTAAACTGAGAAGAAAAGTCCTTTACAATTTTGCAATAGTTAACAAAATATTAATTATTAAAAATTGCCGAAAATTGATTTTCAATAATTTTTTACTCAAAAACTATCAACTTTACAAAAAAACTGTAAGAGACAAAAATTGTTTATTTTCTTCTCATAAAGTTTCGAGAATTTTTTTAGAATTTTTTAATACCGTATTTTCTCATGTTGATAAAAATAAGAAAATGCAATACTAAAAAGTTGATAAAAAATTCTGAAAAAATTCTTAGAGCTCTATGAGAATATAGTAAACAATTTTTCTCTCTTGCAGGTTTTCTGTAAAGCTAGTAGTATTTGAGTAAATAATTATTGAAGACTATAATTTTCGACAATTTTTAGTAATTAATCTCTTGTTAACTATTACGAAAATTGTAAAATGGCAAAGGACTTTTCTTTTCAGTTTAGTCCATTTCGTCCCTGTGCAAAAAATTTTTCATTAATTATCAAACACCCTTTATGTATATATACATATATTGTGTGTGTATATATATATAGAGAGAGAGAGAGAGAGAGAGCGCTTATTTGCGAATCAAAATACTATAGCAATAATTTTTCGAAAAATTAAGTAAAAAAATTATTCATAAATTTTTAGTTTAAGCAGTTTAAGTTTTTGAGTTATAAGAATTTTAATTGGCCATATTTTTCACCTGTATATAATGTCAGTATTTGCATTATCTGTATATAGAAGAGTATTGTATTTCGTAGTTCAATTTTAAAGTGAATGTTGCAAAATTTCAACACCGTCCCTTCATTCGGAAGTTTATAAGTTATACATTCGGAGAGCTAAATAATCGAGCGCTGTTATTAGTTATTTGTTATTAGCTGATTACCATAATTAATTAATCAACCGAATTTAATTATTTAATTATACTTATCCGGTTAATTAATTAATTAAAGGCAGAGGCGTGCACGTCCGTGGAAATGGCGATGCGAAAGTGCCCGAACGGGATGTTGTCGGAGGTCAAGTACGATGGCGAGCGTGTGCAGGTGCACAAAAGCGGAAACGACTTTCGATACTTCAGCAGATCTCTCAAGTCGGTCCTGCCGCACAAGGTAGAGACGATAACTTCTAGAACCATGTAAACAATTTGAAAGATATAATATCACTTTATAATTTAAAAGTTTCACGCCGCGTTATAGAAACAGAAAGAATCATATTAATGTAGGAAAAAATGTGATGATTGTTATTACGAAATTTAAAGATCAAGATACGAAATTAAAAGCGTGTTTTCGGCTTTTTGTATTTGAAAGGCGACCGATTCTATTTTTTTTAGGTGAATCTCTTCAAAGATTATATAGTGCAGGCGTTTCCTGACGGTGACGATTTAATCCTTGATTCTGAAGTTCTCATGATCGACAATGAAACCGGACAACCTTTGCCTTTCGGCACCTTAGGAATTCACAAAGTAAGAGCGATGAACCTCGTCACAAATCTTTTCATTCCATTTTTCTGAAAACTTTCGAAAATTTAAATACGATAGAGAGCACCAATCAGCTGTCAAAGTTAGATGTTTCGAATAATACAATATCTTGGTTTTTAATTTTAAGATATGATATTTCGAAAATTTCCTTTTGTAATATTTTTGCGTCTGTTTTTATATTGTTTAATTAAAAATTTTACGATTGGTGATGAATTTATGATTATATTATGCATAGCAATATTCTATAATAATACTTTAAATCATATCTAACAATAAAACTATGTTTTAATATACATTGTCGAATTTGTTTTCAGAAAGCTGAATTCAAAAATGCCAACGTGTGCCTTTTTGTCTTCGACTGTTTGTATTACAATGGCGAGATACTTATAGATAAGTAAATATCGAAAAAATTTTCATATACAAAAATATCTTATAATAATTACACATTAGTTTACTTTTTTTATTATTTTAAACCAGACAACGTAATTCTTATTGATTTTTTATGCTGAAGCTAAAAAAGTTATCATGAATCACATTTTATCAGCACATCAAGTTTCCGAAATAATTGAGGTTTAATACGTTAAAAATGATATTAAACATTTTTTTTAATAAGAAAGAAAATTAACATTATATTGAAATTTTGATCATTACTATAAATGTATTGTTAAAGGACTCGTTAATATTTAACAATTTAAAGACTAAAAAGTAAGGGGAAGTAGGAGTCAGCGCGGTACTTGGTGCGCAAGTATAACAATGGAAAAAAATGCTTAAAAGTCCATTTTTAATATAAAGGTATATAATGTCCGTATAAAGTCCGTACGCGTTTCGACTTACTTCAAGTTATTCTCAACGGAATTAATATAATTCTATTCTGTATAAATAGTGCATCAACCATGGTGTCAATCATCCAATATTTCAAAGAGGTTCCTTAGTTTCATCCTAGTTTACTGGCCAGAAAGAAACAAGTAATTCTTATGAAGTGAAGCTATAATAAGAATCAGAATATCAAAGATATATGTGAAATTATTTTTTTAAAAAGAAACAATAAGAAGACAGTAGATTGACACTCACTGACTTGATGCAACTTGCACATACATACACAGTAATCAACCAATTGAATATAATACTTATTTAAAAAATTAGATAAAGTAACAAGAGAGTGATCCAAATGAATTTTTTCGTTAAATAGCTAAAACGAAATTTAACAGTTGTTCACTCTTCGGTTACACAGAGACAAATAATAAGTGTCGCTGATACAAGTATCGATCCGAAACAATCAAAAGCATAATTATAAACATTAATTTTTAAATTGTATTCAGAACTGACTTATAGGCATGGTCTAAAAATTCAGTATCTGTTTGGACTAGTTTGAAGGTTTAAACTTCATTTTTGTGTTTTTATATGTAATATTTCAGACGTTAATCTTTTGTGGTAATTCCTTTCTATATCCAAAACTTGCACTCTATCCCAATCGAATTCAAATTGTAATCTGTGGTTTGTAATGACCGAATGGGAAGACGTCTTCCTTCTAATGTGATTTCGGTGTTCAGAAATGCGTCTGTGTAATTGACGACTAGTTTGTCCTACATAAGAAGTCACGCAGTCTCTGTGCACTGGTGTGGTAAAGGATCTTTCTGCACTTTGATTAGACTGAGAAGTTTATTGATACTATAAAATGCAATTTTTGATACCGTATTGTTTATAATCCTTTTAAATTTATCTGAGATGTTGTTGACAAAGGGGATTGTAAACTATATAATTTTATTGTTAGATGCCAACGTTCTTTTTATTACTAGGGATCGCGGCCACTATATCATCAAAAAAACTTAATCGAAAAACTCATGTTATCAAGTATGCTTTCTTCAAGGTTAGTCAATTACAATACAAGTCATTACAATATAAGCGATAATCGATGATAATGGGGCGCCCATAGGTGTCCCAAAGTTCTACTTATAAATTTGGTCATCAAATATAAAAAAAGTAGACTCAAGAACACAAACTGAACTGTTAACAAAAATTCATCCTTAGGATTATTTTTTTATTGTTACGTTTTTATTGATGATATATATCATGGCCGCGATCTCCAGTACACAAATCGATAACTTTTTAAATATGTCTAACTCTGTACATTCAAGGTTACAGTTTACAATTGAAATAGGGGATAACAAAATTAATTTTCATGACAACCATTTTAATTCATAACAAAAGACTAATATTTAACTGGTATCAAAAATTGACTTTTTCAGGTAGATACCTAATTTTTTTATCCAGACATCCTCGCTAACAGAAAAAAGGCGTGATTATAGACATATGATTGATAAAGTATTTTTCCTTTCTGATCCAAAATTTCACCAAAAATTTTGAACTTATCGTTAGCATTTTATTAAATAATGACTACTACCCTCTTGAATTTATTTTTAATACTATGTCTCAGAGAATAAAATATCTTATAAAAAATAGTAACATAATGAACAAAGGTAATAAAAAGAACGTGGCATCTAACAATAAAATTATATGTTTACGATCCCCTTTGTTAACAACATCTCAGATAAATTTAAAAGGATTATAAACAATACAGTATCAAAAATTGCATTTTATAGTATCAATAAACTTCGCAGTCTAATCAAAGTGCAGAAAGATCCTTTACCAACCAGTGCACAGAGAAACGTTGTCTATAAGATTGCCTGCGAAGACTGCGTGGTTTCTTATGTAGGAAACTATAGTCGTCAATTACATATACGCATTTTTGAACACCGAAATCACGTTAGAAGAAAGACGTCTCCATTCGGTCATTACAAACCACAGGTTACAATTTGACCATGAATTCGATTGGGACAGAATGCAAGTTTTGGATATAGAAAGGAATTACAACAAAAGATTAACGTCTGAAACGCTACATATAAAAACACAAAAATGGAGTTTAAACCTCCAAACTAATCCAAATAGATACTGAATTTTTAGACCATGTCTATAAGTCAGTTCTGAATACAATTTAAAAATTAATGTTTATAATTATGCTTTTGATTGTTTCGGGTCAATACTTGTATCGGCAGTGATACTTGTTATTTGTCTCTGTGTAATCGAATAATGAACAGCTGTTACATTTCGTTCTATTTATTTAACGAAAAAATTAATTTGGATCACTCTTGTTACTTTATCTAATTATTCAAATAAGTATTATATTCAATTGGTTGACTACTGTGTATGTATGTGCAAGTTGCATCAAATCGGTGAGTTAATCTACTTTCTCCTTGTTGTTTCTTTTTAAAAAAATAATTTCATATACATATATCTTTGACATTTTTATTCTTATTATAATTTCACTTCATAAGAATTATTTGTTTCTTTCTGGCCAGTAAACTGGGATGAAGCTAAGGGATCTCTTTGAGATATTGGATGGTTGACACCATGATTGATACACTACTTATACAGAATAGAATTATATTAATTCCGTTGAGAATAACTTGAAGTAAATCGAAACGGGTACAGACTTTATACGGACATTATACACTTTTATATTAAAAATAGACTGTTAAGCATTTCCATTGTTATACTTGTACATCAAGTACCGCGTTGACTCCTATTTTCCCATTATTTTCTAGTTTTTAAATTATAATTTTATTGTTTATCCCTTTTAAAAGTCATTATTTTAATTTTAATGTCATACTTTTTAGCCATATTATGATGGATTTACGTACAGAGTACGTAAGTTTTGGTATGATGACGTTTAGATTTTCTTTCAACATCCAAAAATTTATAAAAAATATCTTTCTTGGTTTAAAATAATGTGTTTGACTGTAAACTATAATATTATTCTGACTTTACATGTTAAAGCTATTTTTCCTCTTTTTCTTTTTCATCACGTTAGATCTATGCTGGAGCGCAGGAACATTTTGAAGGACAGAATGACGGAGATACCGAACAGAATAATGTTATCGGAGGTTCACGAAGTGCATGTAAAGAAATAAAAATTTTAAAGAGCACGTTAATTATTGTTTACTTACAGCGGCATCGGATTACAGTTCGCGTCTGATTTCAGGATCCGCGGGATTTAGCGGGAAGGATTGTCGATGTATTGAAACTGGGTCTTGAAGGTTTGGTCCTGAAAGACATCGACGTGCGTATCGATCCTTGTAAACGCATTAATTTCCCACATTATTGCTATATTCTTTTAATAATGTTATTGGTATATAATTAACCGAATAATCATTGCGCAATACAATTATATATTTAATATTTATTTGATTGTTTATACAAACATGTTTCCTCGCTTTACCTATTTGTAACTTCCTGCGATAAAGTCGATAATTTATTTAAAGATAACGTTGTTCTTATGAAATTTGTTTTATATGGATCGCCAGGCGTTTGGGTTTCATTATCGTACCGTTTATTCGAAATTGCGTTTTCAGAGCAAATACGAACCGGGAAAGAGGCACTGGTTGAAGGTAAAAAAGGATTATCTGTGCGGTGGTGCAATGGCTGATAGCGCAGATCTCGTCGTGCTTGGTGCATGGTACGGCACGGGCAACAAAGGTTCGTATGAGCTACGACGCAGTGCGAAAGATAATATCGTAAAGTGAAAATGTAAATCGGATATACAATGTGGGATAAATTTTATTAAATAATCGCAATTGTTTAAACTCGTCGAACGATTCTTGTTGGCTGTGTTTAGCAGAGAAAGTAGTTTTACAATTGTAAAATTTTTATTTAATATGATTGATTTATATATTTATTATTTAGATTTAGTGAAGAGAGTGCACAAGATCAATCATATTAAAGAATTTTGCAACAATTGCAAAACAATTTTCTCCGCTTAATGCAGCCATTGTTTCGTAATGACAACTAGAAATAGTCACTATTATGACTTCGCTATGCAGCTTTTAAAATGTTCAAATTTGGTAATGCGGAGATAGACAAAAAATTAAATTAATAAAACGGAATTTACATGTCTAAAATGAAATTTATTTCATAGAGAAGCGGCCGATCTTTCACACTGACTCGATCTCTCGAAGCTTGCTATTTCCACGTATTTTTCTTTTTTTTTACAGGCGGCATGCTGTCGGTTTTCTTAATGGGCTGCTATGACGAGAGGCACGACAAGTGGTTAACTGTTACTAAAGTAAAATATTTAATGAATTTTAAATATTAATTCGAATTAAAGTGGGAGATCACACCTTCCTGTCATCGTAGGTACACACGGGGCACGACGATGCCACCCTGACGATGCTGCAGGATCAGCTGGACATGGTGAAAATCGGCAAGGATGTGGAGAAGCTACCGAGCTGGTTGCATGCCAAGAAACCCATGGTGCCGGATTTCGTGGCGAAAGATCCCAAGGTAAGATCCAGTGAGTCGATTTACCGATCAACATGTGAAATATTTTATTAAAATATTTTTAAAAATTATTCACATAAATATTTCATGCTGTGGACAATCAACCCATTGTTGAAACTGCTCAGCGTTATTAAGGCTTCTAAGTAGTCAGCATGCGATTCAAAATCAATCGGCGGCTTGGCGAAATGTGGCAAAATCGGTAGCCACACACCAAGCACGAGCCCATGTATATGTGCTCTCGGCGCGCCGAAAGCGAGCACATATACATGGGCTTGTGCTTGTGTGTGTGTTACAACGCCTCGCCACGATAAATGGCTGAATTTATAGGCATGGAAAAGTGACGTGGAATTTGACGACGAAATTTGTGTTGCATGCCATTCCGTTATTATTTGTTTAATTGTAAAAATGTGACGTGCATCGTACTTATGAAAGTCCTAAAAATGGGCAGAAACTATAGTTATCCTGGAATTTTATACGTAAAAGCGTATATTTCATTCATTTCTACAACTGTTCAAACCGTATATTTCTGCCCGAAATTAGACTCACTTTACCTGCCTTTTACTGACTATTAAGGGAGAAAAGGACAGTTTCTGCCTATTTTTATAGGTATTTTAAAGTAATCTCGTCATTTAGATTTATCCAAATTGTCTTTATTTACAAATGGCTTGCAGTATAAATTTACGTGTCACTCCTCGCTTCTGACGTCACGATCCCAACATGGCCGCCGCAACTACTTAGGAGCCTTAAGGGGATGCTAAATCGATTACCCAACTCAATCAAGGTCGATAGTACAGACTTTTTTAATTCCAATTTCGATAATAGTGGCGACATCTTTGATTTAGTTTTTACATTATATTAT